CCACCTGTATCACCACTCACTGTAGCAAAACCTGCCACCTGTGCCACCACCCACTGTAGCAGGATCTGCCACCTGTATCACCACTCACTGTAGCAGGACCTGCCACCTGTGCCACCACCCACTGTAGCAGGACCTGCCACCTGTGCCACCACCCACTGTAGCAGGACCTGCCACCTGTATCACCACTCACTGTAGCAAGACCTGCCACCTGTGCCACCACCCACTGTAGCAGGACCTGCCACCTGTGCCACCACCCACTGTAGCAGGACCTGCCACCTGTGCCACCACTCACAGTAGCAGGACCTGCCACCTGTGCCACCACCCACTGTAGCAGGACCTGCCACCTGTGCCACCACCCACTGTAGCAGGACCTGCCACCTGTGCCACCACTCACTGTAGCAGGACCTGCCACCTGTGCCACCACCCACTGTAGCAGGACCTGCCACCTGTGCCACCACCCACTGTAGCAGGACCTGCCACCTGTGCCACCACCCACTGTAGCAGGATCTGCCACCTGTATCACCACTCACTGTAGCAAGACCTGCCACCTGTGCCACCACCCACTGTAGCAGGATCTGCCACCTGTATCACCACTCACTGTAGCAGGACCTGCCACCTGTGCCACCACCCACTGTAGCAGGACCTGCCACCTGTGCCACCACCCACTGTAGCAGGACCTGCCACCTGTATCACCACTCACTGTAGCAAGTGCCACCTGTGCCACCACCCACTGTAGCAGGACCTGTCACCTGTGCCACCACCCACTGTAGCCTGCCACCTGTGCCACCACTCACTGTAGCAGGACCTGCCACCTGTGCCACCACTCACTGTAGCAGGACCTGCCACCTGTGCCACCACCCACTGTAGCAGGACCTGCCACTGTGCCACCACTCACTGTGACCTGCCACCTGTGCCACCCACTGTAGCAGGACCTGCCACCTGTGCCACCACCCACTGTAGCAGGACCTGCCACCTGTGCCACCACTCACTGTAGCAGGACCTGCCACCTGTGCCACCACTCACTGTAGCAGGACCTGCCACCTGTGCCACCACCCACTGTAGCAGGACCTGCCACCTGTGCCACCACTCACTGTAGCAGGACCTGCCACCTGTGCCACCACCCACTGTAGCAGGACCTGCCACCTGTGCCACCACTCACTGTAGCAGGACCTGCCACCTGTGCCACCACCCACTGTAGCAGGACCTGCCACCTGTGCCACCACTCACTGTAGCAGGACCTGCCACCTGTGCCACCACTCACTGTAGCAGGACCTGCCACCTGTGCCACCATCCACTGTAGCTCTAGACAGTTTCAGGTTTTCCTGGGGGAGATTTCGAGCACCTCAATGCGTGTTTCTTTGCCCCCTGCTCTCCGTGGGATGTTGGTGTTGTGGTGCTTCAAGTGCAGGTTCCTTCCCTTTCAGTTGCCTTGGTTGTGGAGGATTTGTGTACTCGTGGCCTGCTTGTTTCGGCTCTGCGTTTCTTTTCCCTCCTTGAGCTGTCCTCAGATTGGCTTGAGTTGGATGTGAAGGGGAGGGGGGGGGGGGCTTGGGGCCGCTGCCGGGTCTAGTGCATTGCCTTCTGTGGTGCAGGCGTCGTCTGCTATGTTGAAGCTCTTCGTGCCACTCCGGCATGATGCGGTTTCGCGGTTCTATGCTTCTCGTCTCGTGCGTTGATAGGTGGTGCTTGCTTCTTCTTTGGAATATGCTTGGGCCCTGGCTCTTTGCTTGTCTTCCCCCTTTTTGTCCTTTATGTTTGCAGAGTCTGCGGTGGTGCAGTACCTGCAGGCGGCTTCGGTTAGTTGTAGACTTATGTCTGACTTGTTGGTGCTTGGGGGGGTGTGGGCCTTCCTGGAAAGGTCGTGCCAAGGCTTGGGGTTCCATTCGTCGTGGTACGCCCGTGGTGCCAGATTTGGGGCAGGCGCAGTCTTCGGTTCTGTCTTTTTCTGGTCAGCGCCCTGTCCGCCGTTTAGGTTTTTGTAAGGTGCGTCGGCCCTTTCACTGTTCGTCCCATTTACAGGGCGATGGAAGGGGGGGGGGGTAAGTTCACCCTGTTTGCTCGTGCTTGGTCCCACGATTCGTGGGCTTTTCGGGTCGTTTCGTGCGACCTGTGGTGGCATAGGGTGGCCCCTCCTTCCTTCGGGGGTTCGGGGCAGGCCTCTTCTTTTGCACTCTGTCAGGTCATCTCGGAGTGGGTTCGCTTGGGTGTGGTAGAGTCCACGACATCCCTCAGATGGGTTTCCCGCATGTTTTCGGTTCTGAAACGGGACTGCACGGACTTCCAGTTCATTCTGGACTGAACCAGTGGGTTTCTTGCCCCCCCCCTTCCCCCCTTCAGGATGACTACTCTGTCTTAGGTCCGTCTTATGTTAGAGCCAGGCACTTGGATGGTGTCCCTGGACCTCAAGGATGCGTATTGGCACATCCCAGTTTATCCGAGGTTCAGGGACTGGCTCGATTTTGTCGTGGGGCGTCAGGGTTACCGCTTTCATTGCCCTCCCTTCGGGTTGAATCTGGCGCCTCGGGTTTTCACTTGCCTTACTCGGGTCATGGTGGCCGGCCTGCATCTGTTAGGTGTTCGGGTTCTGGACTACCTCGTCGACTGGCTGGTTTGGACTCCCAGCCAGTCCACATGTCTGCTTGCCAGGGATTTGGTTCTATCCCTGCTGGGTTTGTGTTCCTGGTGAACTGGCGGAAGTCCCATCTGGTTCCCTTTCAGGTTCGGTCTTGGCTGGGTCTTATGTGGGACGCTTGGATCGCTTTCTTGTCTCTTCCTCCAGTGGCTCTGGTTCGCCTGCGTTTCGCCTTCCTCTTCGGCTTGCTGCGTCGCTGGCTTTCTCTTCGGCTTGCTGCGTCGCTGGCTTTCTCTTCAGGTTTTTGGGGTTCACTGCCTTGGCGCCTACCCGAGCCCTTGCTCGGTATGTTCACGGACGCGTCGTCTCTTGGCTGGGGCTTCGTGACCAGTGCTCACCAAGCTGGCCAGGGATGGTGGGGTCTCTCCTTCCATCATGCTCACAGCACAGTGTGGGAATTCACGGTTGTGTGGATGTCGGTCCAGAGGATTTGGGTCGCTTGCAGATCGATGATTCGGCTCAATTTGGACTGTTCCCTGGCGGTTCATTGCCTGAATCGAGTGGGTTCCATGCGGTCCTTGACTTTTTGGGGCTGGTCGCTTCGGGTGACTTGTCTGCTGAGTTCTCGGGGGTTTGGCTCTCATGGTAGTTCACGTTCAGGGGGTGTCCGATGTCCTGGCAGACGGCCTGTCCCGGTTCATTTCCCTGTCACGGAATGGACATTCGACGCCAACTCGTTCTGTTGGCTCTGCCAGATGTTCGGGCCTCTGGAAGTGGATCTTTTCGCATCGGCAAGGTTGAGGCGTCTCCTAGTATACGTGGTGCCCTTCCCCGACTACTGTCGGGGTCGCCGCTTTCAGGCAGGACTGGGCGAGGTGGGGTTACCTGTACATCTTTCCCCCGGTTCAGCTGTTGCTGAACAGCGGTTCAGCTGGTCATGACTCGCTTGGAGACTTACCAATGGGAGAGTTGTCCTCCTGGCTCCTTGATGGCCAGCCCATCCTTGGTTTCAGGCGCTGCTTGCTGGGTGTCTGAACCCGAGGGTCTTCCCGCGGCTCCGCCTCTTTCAGTAAATCGGTCCAGCCCGGTATGAGGCTGATTTGTTCTTCTCTTCAAGTCTTCGTGTCAAGTTGCTGACTCGGGTCTATCATCGCTTGTATGGGGTGCAGGTGGCTTCATTATTGGTCTCCCACCTGCATGCTTTGTCTCTGAGGCAGTATGAAGTTTCCTTCACCTGGAAGGGTCTGTGTTGCATTGAGTTGGCGGTTGCAGCCAGTTGTCTTAACTTCGCGTTGAGGACTGAGGACTGATCGCCACCTGGGTAAATCCCTGTGTTTTTCCTTGTCTTTGGGTAGTTAGCTCCGGGGAGCCGATGGGGCTCCCCCCAGAAAACCAGCATTGAATGTAATGCAACCCCATTTTCTGAGTGAGACCCAGAGGCTCTCCGGCATCCCTCCCTCCCTTTGGTCAGCGTTATTTTCACGTGTTTTTGACATCCAGCCAAAGAATTGCCGGTTGAATTGCCGGCGTGGCAACGTGATGACGTCATGCTTGTTTGCTAATTTTCGTTGCAGGGTTCTGTCCACTCGTTCAGCTTTCGGTAGCAATATTTTCACCAGAATAGAGGTTTGTTTTGGGGCGCCTATCTTTCTGGGTTCCAGACCTGGTCGATGGCAGACAGGATGCTTTCAACCACACGGTGGTTTCTGTTGGCCATTGCTCCTCGTACCTCTTTGAGGGGGCCAGGGTCTGACTCGTGATCCCTGGCAGGCAAGAACTCCATGCACTTTGACTAATGCCAGAAAGCTAATAGTTACATATCAGCCTGGAAAGCTCCGGGGAGCCTCGGGTCTCGCCCAGAAAATGGCATTTCATTACATTCAACATTTTTTTTTTGTGCATAAGCGGGTATGACTATTTCCCCATAGCCGCTGTCTTAACCGCTGCACATTTGGTTTTGGCAAAAATTTCTTAGTGCAAATGTCAAGGACATACTTTTGTTGTTTTTATAAATGTTCAGGTAAAGTTAAATTAATGTCAAAATGTTTCTAAACTGAACTACTGTATTTCCATTTTAAAACACAAAGAGTAATGAAAACATTACAAATATTAAAATATAGCCTAATTAAAACAAATAGCACAACTCTCAGAGTGCCAAAAGGTGCTTTGCACAGTGCAGTAGTTAAGGTTAACAGTACAAGAAGGAATTTTAATTTCTTGTATTTTGTTATGCAGCAGTTAGGTATTACCAGGTGCGCAGGCGAGAGGTTGGTTGCTGTGGTGTAAACAATTGAGGGAATATTCGTGTTGAATGTTAGAAAAGTCATGTGTGGAGTTTTGAAGTGTCATAATAAATGGAATGAGAAGAAATCTGCCAGACATCAAGAGACTCATGAATATATTAATTAAAATGTGATTTTACTTGCAGAAAAAATGGATGGAGAACTTTTATCCCTCAAGTGGAACAATCACCGCACAACCTTTTACCACGTCATTAGTGGCCTTCGTAATAAGGTAAACACTCTGAAATACCTTATTGATGTCCTATATAATAAGGTAAATTTTTGGCCTTAAATGGTCTCAATAATTAGGTATGGTGCATTTTATTGCATAATTATTGGCTTCCGTAATGTATAACAGTTTTGTATAGTTTATTATGTATCCGTAGTAAGGATATGTCAGGCTGTTTGTGTTATTGTACTATACTGCTATGTGGGCTAGTGGATGTACAAGAATGTAAGAAGTCTTGTATATATGAATAAATCTGTCATGTTAGGGATTCTGACATGACTCTTCTGTCATGTTAGGGATTCTAATTCTTTTGATTGGTCTTCTAAAATAATCTTTCCTGCCTCTACTCTATACAGACGCCGCCTTGTTGAATTGGCTCTGATACACAACCTATCCAACATTAACCTTATTCGTGGCTTTGTTGCTGTTGACTCTTCTCTTTCACAGTACATACTCAAATTTTCTAATCATTCTAACAAACGTGATCTAACATAAGCCTACCCGTCCTTTTTTCTCTTTATCTGTCTTTTTCTTTTATTTTCTCTTTTGTTCCCATTTACATTTTTTATTACACCTATCTTTTGCCTTGCTCTTGCCTCCCTCTTGAGATTTCCTCCACCTCTTGCTTTGCTTATGCCTTTACCGCCCTCAACTCATCACAATCGACTTGATGATGGTCCTGGACGGACCGAAGCATCGTCGTCTTTTCATCTTCTAGTGTGTGGTTTGGTCAACGGAATTACAGAACTCTAATAAAGAAGGAGACTTGGAGGGATTTTGGAAAGTAAGCTCTCGCCACAGGAACACTCAAAAGAACATTGTGAGAGGAGCATATGCATCACTTTACAACTTCACACATGCATTTAATTATATGGATGATGAAATACTGTAGAAACTGTTCATGACTTTTGTGAGACCAAAATTGGAATATGCAGCAGTTGTATGGTGCCCAAATCTCAAGGAGACACATAAGGAAACTGGAAAAACTGCAACGGCATGCTTCAAAATGGCTTCCGAAACTGAGAAACATGAGATACGAGGAGAGACTAGAGGCATTAAACGTGCCAAAACCAGAAGATAGAAGAAAAAGAAGTGATATGATCACTACTTACAAAATACTAACAGGAATCAACCAAATTGACAAAGAGGAATTCTTGAAACCAGCAACTTCATGAACAAGAGGACACAGATTCAAGCTAAGGAAACAAAGATGTCGAATAAATTTTAGAAAGTTTTCTTTTGCAAACAGAGTGGTAGACAGTTGGAACAAGTGAGGAAGTGATGGAGGCCAAAACTGTCTGTACTTTTGAAGCATTATACAACAAAGAGTACTGGGAAGACAGGACACTAGGAGCGTAGCTCTAATCCTGTAACTACACTTAGTTACTTTGTGGGGCTTGGGCTACTGAGAGCCTCGGGTTTCATCAAGCCTACCTGGCTTGGACCAGAGTTCAAGCCTACCTGGCTTGGACCAGAGTTCAAGCCTACCTGGCATTGGATCCGAGTTCAAGCCTACCTGGCTTGGACCAGAGTTCAAGCTTACCTGGCTTGGACCAGAGTTCAAGCCTACCTGGCTGGGACCCGAGTTCAAGCCTACCTGGCATTGGATCCGAGTTCAAGCCTACCTGGCATTGGATCCGAGTTCAAGCCTACCTGGCTGGGACCCGAGTTCAAGCCTACCTGGCATTGGATCCGAGTTCAAGCCTACCTGGCTGGGACCCGAGTTCAAGCCTACCTGGCATTGGATCCGAGTTCAAGCCTACCTGGCTCGGACCCGAGTTCAAGCCTACCTGGCTGGGACCCGAGTTCAAGCCTACCAGGCATTGGATCCGAGTTCAAGCCTACCTGGCTCGGGCCCGGTTCCAGCCTCCCTGGTTCCCGAGTTCAAGCCTACCTGGCTCGGACCCGAGTTCAAGCCTACCTGGCTCGGACCCGAGTTCAAGCCTACCTGGCTCGGACCCGAGTTCCGGCCTCCCTGGCTCGGGCCCGAGTTCCGGCCTCCCTGGCTCGGGCCCGAGTTCCGGCCTCCCTGGCTCGGGCCCGAGTTCCGGCCTCCCTGGCTCGGGCCCGAGTTCCGGCCTCCCTGGCTCGGGCCCGAGTTCCGGCCTCCCTGGCTCGGGCCCGAGTTCCGGCCTCCCTGGCTCGGGCCCGAGTTCCGGCCTCCCTGGCTCGGGCCCGAGTTCCGGCCTCCCTGGCTCGGGCCCGAGTTCCGGCCTCCCTGGCTCGGGCCCGAGTTCCGGCCTCCCTGGCTCGGGCCCGAGTTCCGGCCTCCCTGGCTCGGACATACATATGCTACACTTTCTACCTTCAGAATCACTTTTAATTACATGGATGGTGAAATAGAGCACCAACTGCTCATGATTTTTGTGAGAGCAAACTTTGCATACACAGCAGTTGTATGGTGCCCATAGGCCCAAGCAGCACATGAATAAATTGGAAAAGATGCAAAGGCATGCTTCAAAATGGCTTCTGGAACTGAAAAACAAGAGTAATGAAGAGGGGCTAGATGCATTAAATATGGCAAGGCAGAAGATAGAAGAAAAAAGGTGAAATGATCACCACATACTAAGTAATAACAGGAATCTACTAAATTGACAAAGAGGAATTCCTTAAGCCAGCAACCTCAAGAACAAGAGGTCATATATTCAAGCTAAGGAAACAAAGGTGCCAAATAATGTTATAAAGTTTTCTTTGGTAGAGTGGTAGACGGTTGGACCAAGTCAAGTGAGAAGGTGGTGGAGGCCAAAACCATCAGTAGTTTCAAAACATCATAAGACAAAAGAGTACTGGGAAGACGGGACACCAAGAGCGTAGCTCTCGTCCTGTTATTACACTTAGATAATTACTGTGTGGCACTTGGGTAACTGTGAGCCTCGGGTTCACCAACCTTCCTACACTGTGTGGCACTTGGGTAACTGTGACCCTCGGGTTCACCAACCTTCCTACACTGTGTGGCACTTGGGTAACTGTGACCCTCGGGTTCACCAACCTTCCTACACTGTGTGGCACTTGGGTAACTGTGACCCTCGGGTTCACCTACCTTCCTACACTGTGTGGCACTTGGGTAACTGTGACCCTCGGGTTCACCAACCTTCCTACACTGTGTGGCACTTGGGTAACTGTGACCCTCGGGTTCACCAACCTTCCTACACTGTGTGGCACTTGGGTAACTGTGACCCTCGGGTTCACCAACCTTCCTACACTGTGTGGCACTTGGGTAACTGTGACCCTCGGGTTCACCTACCTTCCTACACTGTGTGGCACTTGGGTAACTGTCACCCTCGGGTTCACCAACCTTCCTACACTGTAACTTTGTAAAACTTTGTAAAACTTTGGAGTTGCAAGATATAATCCAGCTTAGGGTCCCAGATATTGTTGCATTATCAGAGACGAAACTTGAAGGAAATATAATAAATGAAGTCATATTCCCAAGAGGCTTCTCAGTTTGGAGACGTGACAGGAAAACTAGGAAGGGAGGAGGAGTGGCTGTACTGGTGAAAAAAACACCTGAAGGTAAAAGAGTTAATATTTGAAAACCCTCGAGATATTGACATAATGGCATTGCAGGTCTGGAATCAGGATGATAAGCTGATAATTGTAAATACCTACAGCCCACCAGCAAGCAACACTTGGACAAAGGAAGAACTGGATGTCAAACGAGAGGGCCTCATAATGGTCATGAGAGATATTATTGTACAAGCAGATAAAGATAAATCACGACTGTTGATACTGGGGGACTTCAACTTTAGAGCAATAGACTGGGAGGCCTATGAAGCAAGAACGGAGGACTTTTGGACATGCAGATTTGTGAACCTCATTCTGGAGACATTCTTGTATCAACACATAAAGGAAGCCACAAGAATGAGGGAAGGAGATGTACCGTCAGTACTGGATCTAGTATTCACCAGGAAAGAAGAAGAGATTTTTGACATCCAGTACCTTCCTCCCTTGGGAAAGAGTGATCACGTCCTGTTAGACATTAAATATGCTTTAAGATATCATCTAGAAGAAAATGGGGACATTGAAACAGTTGATAAACTCGATTTAAGGAGAGGCAACTATGGGGAACTTCGAAATTTTTTTAATGAGTGTAATTGGACAGAATTGTTGCTAGGCAGGGAAGTAAATGAAATGTATGCCAAATTTTTAAAACTATACGAGGAAGGCACACAAACATTCATACCAAAACAGAGATGCAGGGCCAGAAAACAGGATTGGTTCGACAGAAATTGTGTGAGGGCAAGAGACCAAAAGACACAAAAATGGAATCAGTATAGGAAGAGGTCAAACCCCCAAACATACCAGCGATACAAAGATGCGAGAAACAACTATACAGCAGTAAGGAGAGAGGCAGAAAGAAATCTTGAAAAAGGGATAGCAGATAAATGTAAAACAGAACCGGGCCTATTCTACAAATTCATAAACAACAAATTGCAGGTACAGGATAATATCCAGAGGTTGAAAATGGGAAACAGATTCACGGAAAATGAAAAGGAAATGTGTGAAACATTAAATGAAAAGTTCCAAAGTGTGTTTGTACAAAATGAAATCTTCAGAGAACCAGACACAATACACAATAAGAATTCCAGAGAACAACATAGAGCGGATAGAGGTGTCTAGAGATGAAGTGGAAAATATGCTAAAGGAGCTCGGGAAGAACAAAGCAGCTGGCCCAGATGGCGTTTCACCATGGGTTCTGAGAAAATGTGCATCTGAGCTCAGCATTCCACTTCACCTGATCTTTCAGGCATCCCTGTGTACAGGAATCGTAGCAGACGTGTGGAAACAGGCTAACATAGTTCCAATCTACAAAAGTGGCAGCAGGGAAGACCCCCTCAATTATAGACCTGTATCATTGACAAGTGTAATAGTGAAAGTATTGGAAAAGCTAATCAAAACTAAATGGGTAGAACACCTGGAGAGAAATGATATAATATCAGAAAGACAGTATGGTTTTCGATCTGGAAGATCCTGTGTATCGAATTTACTCAGTTTCTATGATC